ATATATATATATAATATCACACACACACACACACACACACACACAGTATATATACATACTGTATATATGTTACCTTTTACATGCTCCTACAATATGTGCTTCAACCTACAATTTCACATGTGTTTATATGTATTATACGTCATCACAACAATGGCCAGAGTCTAGAAACTACAGTATTAAAAAGCGAAGGATTCTGATTTCGGTAAGAGCTCAACAAGTATTGCTGCAATAATAAATCAAATACATGTGAAATAATTGAGTTGACATACCATGAACAAAACTATAGACATAAATAAGAACAATCACTACTTCATGCAAGAATTTATACTCAAGCACAGTTTTACATGAATACTAATTATAGGTATTTGAAATATGATTTTTTTGCAAATTTATAAAATCACACTAATTACAAATCACACTAGAACAATGCAGCACTGCACATTCAGAAATATATACTAAGAACTACCTGTGCTACATTACGGTACTCTAATAAATATTAGCTCTGCAAAGTATTACACAAAAAGACACATTGTCAATGGACCGATTGGGTGAACTTTCCTGCAATGATAATATTTCCCAATGGCCAATCATTTCCTGGTTGGTCTTAGCAAGATAGAAATTGACAAAAGCTATTCAACTGTAAACGATTACCCCAAAACATGAAAATATAGCACATGAAATAAACTTACGTATACAGGAGCTTGCTTTGGATTAAGTTTCATGACCTGCAACAAAGATGAGAGAACAGAGATTGTATTTATCAAGCGGTGAGCAATCGGTACATTTATCATATTATGTAATCACTGCTATATTTAGTTGCATAATTGGGATGTTGGTTATGAAACTCCTTGGGACTTCTTGTAAGGCAGAGTTGGGCTGAAGCTGCAAAAGCTATTCATAATTTTCATTTGGCAACATAAGTGCGGAGTGGCCACTTACGTAAGGACACAAATTATATATTTTATAGACGCATCAGATGTACAGGGAAATTTAAACCCGAACTGTAGGCAGGTATAAAAAGATACAAATAAGTTCAGCTCTGTAATCATTAATGCATAATTAAAATGTATTTTTAAATTGCAAGCAGTGCAGTGGAGTGAAGCAATAGCAGAGCAGTGGAGTGAAGTAGTAGCAGAGCAGTGGAGTGAAGTGAAGTAGTAGCAGAGCAGTGGAGTGAAGTGAAGTAGTAGCAGAGCAGTGGAGTGAAGTGAAGTAGTAGCAGAGCAGTGGAGTGAAGTGAAGAAGAAGCAGAGCCGGGGTGCAGTGGCGTGAAGCAGTAGCAGAGCAGTGGCGTGAAGCAGTAGCAGAGCAGTGGCGTGAAGCAGTAGCAGAGCAGTGGCGTGAAGCAGTAGCAGAGCAGTGGCGTGAAGCAGTAGCAGAGCAGTGGCGTGAAGCAGTAGCAGAGCAGTGGCGTGAAGCAGTAGCAGAGCAGTGGCGTGAAGCAGTAGCAGAGCAGTGGCGTGAAGCAGTAGCAGAGCAGTGGCGTGAAGCAGTAGCAGAGCAGTGGCGTGAAGCAGTAGCAGAGCAGTGGCGTGAAGCAGTAGCAGAGCAGTGGCGTGAAGCAGTAGCAGAGCAGTGGCGTGAAGCAGTAGCAGAGCAGTGGCGTGAAGTAGTAGCCGAGCCGTGAAGTAGTAGCAGAGCCGTGAAGTAGTAGCAGAGCAGTGAAGCGAAGTAATAGCAGTGCAGTGGAGTGAAGCTTGCCCTGGCATTAGATTTTGGCCCCTGTCACATCGGCAGTCTGCATGTCAGTTTTTCAGGTGGACCCAATCAGATGCCCAATGTAAGTCTATGGGCAGCAAGGTTTAAACGGATAGGCGCCTGTTAACACTCGGTTATACCCGACTAGCCAGGTCTGGAAAAGCAAATGGAACAGTGTCCCGTTTCAAATGACCTAATTGTGCCGCATCAGAGGTAATCTGATGAAAACAGACACATGTCCTTTAACATTCAACTCCCCATAGACCGACATGGGGTCATAGTAAGCCTGTGAAAAAGGGCTTTTTGAAGGGCTGGAGTGTGAGAGGAAGAAGCAGCACAAGGAGCCAATCAAGTTCATGTGCTGACAAGAAGCATGCTGATAGGAAGAGGGAGCAGAGAAATGAGCTCATCACTGTGCTGCTTCTCCTTTCACTGTCCAGTCACAGGCTGAAGGCAAGCCCAGGGAGACGTGAACCATGATGCTCTCTGACAGGCTGAGGACATCTGACTGCAGGGAACACAAAATACCAATGGGGGGAAAATTCTGCTTTTGAAGGTGAATATCGCAGCAAAAACGGATTTTGCCATTTTAGCTTTTAATGAGCTCTTCATTTGTATCCGGTTATATCTGGCTGTAGTTCTGCTTTAAATTGACAGCTTTAGTCACAGGAGTTCTAAACCCCGAACTCATGGCATTTCATTTTCTAAAGTGCTGTATATCAAACAATTACCAGGTCTGGTTGTTTTGGGTTTCCAAAAAGAGCGCACATCATTTGTATGGCGCTGTCACCATTTACACAGCACAACACTGTGACAGAGTGTAGGTGATACAAACTGATACGTACATACATTTTGTGGTGCAGAAAAACAGTTTGAGCAAAGTGAAAATGATCGCGTTTCACTAACAAGTGGCACCCTTGTGGTGTCATCCGGAGTGCAGTACATTCATATATCACTAAGCAGTCAAATGATCACTGTTCACACTGATTTCAGTTTAATACATAGAAGGGAATTTATTAAAACTGGAGCAGACATATTCTGGAGCAGATTTGCACTGCAACCAATCAGCTTCTCCGTCTCATTTTCTGATTGGTTGAAATGGGCAACTGCTCCCCCCCCCCCCCCTTGATGTTTAAAGTTGAAGAACTCTGTGAATTTTTTAAAAAACCTGCATTAAATATGACCACGCCGAGCGACATTCCCGGGGCAGAGAGGTGAGCCCTGGGCGTCACGTGACTGAGGATCAGGTGAGTATTTGAACAACCTACTGGACTTAACCCTTGAAGTGCAGGGGTAGCTCCACTACAAGGGTACGGTTTTTAGATTTCCAAAGTCCTTTTTTAATGTCATTGCCCTAATTTCACAAGATTCTGTTACTGTTGTGTAAGTGACTTGTCTCCTGCAGAAAGGACAGCAGCAGTATCATCTCATGTATCGCCGTAGGAGGACAGATTCGGCATGTGCAAAGTAAACATGAACAGATGGAGAGAAGATGAAGAATCAGATGTCACAACATGCTCCTGTACAGTGTCACATGTCACAATATCCTCTATAAGAAATGCCAATTCTTTCTTTACAGATCGCTTGAACACTTGGATCCAGGCAGAAACAGTACAGTAAAGCTGAACTCCGGCTTCACCTTCAGTCTAGCTGTACCGACTCCTCTCCTGGACTGAAACTACTTCCTCTGATTTGAGCTTCTCAATGTGTATTAAAAGGGAAATTCCACATTTTACAAAATATAAAATCAATGCGCACATCTAAAGAAACGAACATTTATTTTTTGCACTGGAGCCAGTAAAGCATTGCAACCACAATCAGGCAATCATGGCTTCTGCAGACTCCTGTCCAAGACCATACTGAGCTACGGACATGGAGTAACATGGATGTCACTCTACCCTTGTATTCCAATGAGAATCACAAATACCTCTGCCATGGTGGCATTTTCCACCAGCCCCTCTGCTCAACGCTACAGCCGCACAGGACCGCGTGGATAATATAATGCCCCGTGTTCCAGTGCGGAACGATTACACAAAATCATGCAAGTGGGGGGCGTGTCTGCAGTGCCATTGACTTCAATGGCACTGCCACGCCTGCTCCCACCCCAGAAAACAAGGAGACTTTGTGTATGTGATGCCTTGCGTTCCGGGCATGGTGCAGTGCGATGAGCGCACGGGCTGGTGGAAACAAGCCCTTTAAAAGCTGCAGGAAGTCATCAGATAGAGCTTGTCTCATTTTCTGGCTGAATAATGTATAAATGGCATCCCTTAGATGCCCATTTTCATGGGAATGTAGGGACTTTAGGTTAGATGCATTTTTGGTGTTTTTCCCCCCAGTTTGTATTTTAGTGCACTGCCTCTTTAAGAGTATCCAACGGTGGATTTTTTCGGCGGGAAAAGACGTTATTTTGGCGGGAAAACATCGCCACGAGAATGGATGTCAGTTGGGATTAGGCCCTATATAAGGAGGTGCCGAGATGTTTAAAATCATCCAGTTGGAAACCCGTTTTGAAGCTTCCCTCCCTCCCTAGTCGCGGTATTTTTATGTGGTTTGTCACCTCAGGAGAGGGGGACTATTCCCTTGATTAATATATTGCTCGAGTTTCGAAAACTGGGCAATATGGTGGAAGTATAAGAGTTATTGGTTGATTATTAAGATTGGTTATTAGAGTATGATTTAATATTTATCCAATAAAAATGCCGCGGCCAATTAATGCCAATTAAATTAAAAGAGCTTTGAGTGATTATTTAGAGTTTAAGTTAAATATAAACATATGTCACATACAGTCCCATGGTGTGAATGGGCCCTAAAGTATTGGCAGAGCGTAGCAAACTTCACTTGAGACCAATGAATGAGACCCCCGAGTAGGAATTCTCTAAAAGCCCAAAACAGGCCAAAGTACACCAAAAACCAATAGTTCTATGGGTTGTATTCTCTTCTAATACACAAGGATCCCACATATATCTACGGATACCTTAGGCTGACTCTAGAGTGACACAGGAATGTTCAACATGTACAAAGTATAGCTTTGAAAACATACGTTGCTGTTCACTGCCTGAAGCTACATTCACACCCCTGTGTTCTCATGGAGTACAGGTTTCTGTTTTTTAGATGTTTTTGTTTTTTTTAACACACATTTATATGCACAACCATTAATTCCTATGGAAGGTGTGTGTTTTGGTGGAAAAAGCACAAAATGACACAGTAAACAATATACAGCAGTTTGTAATGGATCTCACTAAAGTGTAGGGTTGTAGATGCAGCTTTACACAGTGGAGGCTCTCTAAAACACAAGGAGGAGAATTTGTAAAAACTGGAGCAGTTGCCCACGGCAACCAATCAGCTTTGTTCAGTTAAGCTATGAAAATAAAAGAGATGCTGATTGGTTGCCATGGGCAACTGCTCCAGATTCTGTCTGCTCCAGTTGTAATAAATTCCCCTCATGGTATCTACATGTTTCACTTCCATCATAAATCTGAGAAGGGATTTAATTGGCATTTTAGATAAGTCGTCATAGCCATGAAAATAATGCAAATCATTTCTTGAAGCGCTGTTCACACCAGGGCATAGCAGGGGGGACACTACGGGAATGTGTATTCCTGCGCGTTTGTCGCTCATCCCCATTGCTCCCCCTTGGGTCCCTGGACATCTGCCAAGAAGAACATTTTGCAAATTTTGCGACAAGAGTTCCACGTTTGTCCCCATGCATTCTCAGATGTGTTGAAAAACTGTTTGCTCAGCCAAGTTTGGGCTGCCATTACCTAGTAATGGTAAAAAGTCCATTCCGCGTTTGTGCATGTATTGTGAACATGCGTCAAAATGAGCACTTTTGTGCACGTTTAACACGCCCTGTGCCAAGTGTGAACACAGAACAGCTAGATAACAGGAAACGTAGAACAATCTCATAGGGTCATTTATTTGTCACCATAACTGGTCTAGTTGTGTTTTCTCAATGGTCCACAAACCATATTCCATAGAAGTCAAGGGGGGTGATTTACTAACCTAAACACATGCACGCACTAGGTGC